AATGTGAAACCTCTGACCCTCTGTCTGAAAAGTGCTGATTGGCCCTGTGCTGATCACATGCACCCTCCCAAGAAAAAAACCATCCTCTCTAGCAATACACATCAAACTGAGCATGTGCTTGTGACCACGGTTCAGTCTGTATCAGGTGCTCATTTCAACAAGAGGAGGGGCAGAGAAGAAAGGATCAAACAGCCTTTTTGCTAGTGCACCAAAATGAAAATTAAGGTAATGAAAATTCAGGATGCACTTGGCTGAAAACCAAAATGGACAGTTTTTTAGAAATTAATATAGATTTTTTTGAAAAAAATACACTTTGATTAAGAAAAAAATTATACCTCAATATTTTTGTAAAATAAGATGTTATGGTGAGAAAATAGATAACCAACATGTCACGCTTTAAAATTGCGCACGCTCGTAGAATGGCGTCAAACTGCGGTACTTAAAAATCTCCATGGGTGATGCTTTAAAAATGTATGGTAATGAAGCGAGCACTCTAAAAACAGGTAGCAGCTAGAACACTAAAGGAAATCACAACAACCTTAAAAATGCAAATGGCTAAATAAAGTGCAGCGCTAAAAAGAAATGAATAGGGAAAACTCAGATAAATGAAATAAAATATAATAAAAGTTTGTTCAATTTATATATATATATATATATATATATATATATATATATATATATATATATATATATAATCGTCCACTTGACTGAATGTAGTAAATGGCACCAATGATATTTTCCACAACAGCAGATATCTTCAAAGCCAGTGACAGGAAACAAATGGCAAAAATGCACACTCACCGACTGCACATAGGAAATGCGCATATATATATATATCCACCAGATTGGGTATGTACAACATGCAGATGGTGGGCTTCCTTCAGGAGAAAAAGGTCAGGCTTGGGTGTAGTGATAATCTGCTGGGTCCAGAGGTCTCCTTTAGGATATGTGGGTATTCAGCCTGGATACAGGGCTCCCTACTCTGGATATTGGATGGTATAGGGGATTGCTCTGTGGGTTTAACAGCTCCTCCAATAAGGAGCCAAAGAAGAAGGGGTGCCAATAGTGTAGTAACTTCAGTAAATTTATTGGATGTACATGATTAAAATCATAAGTGAACAAAGGGTGAAGGTACAGTACAAAATGTGAAGCTATTAAATGCAGAGTACTGCAGCACTGACCCTTAAGCAAGATGGCCGCCGGATCTCCTCCTGGTTTCGGCGTTGATGCCGTCACACACTGTCAGCCCCTCCTGAGGCCTTTCGTGCTAAGGCACATCATCAGAGGGGGAGGCTAACAGCCGTGTGACTGACGTCTGGTGTTTAAATAGCGGTAATGGTGCATGCGCATTACCGCGCCGCCATTTTCACAAAGAACTTGAAACTGCGCATGTGCGCTTTCAGAGATGCCATTTTGCTGTGGATGGATTCAGCAATAGGACACACTCAGCAGAGTAGTGTCAAACTCTATGTAAGCTGCCGACAGCTTGAAGCTTTAAAAATGTCTACAGGTTACCAGTGTAACATTACAGGGGAGGTCTAGTGCAAGAATTATTGCTCTTGCTCTGACTGGTGATACCTCACGTGTGTGGTTTGAACACCGTTTACATATGTGGGCATGGCCTATGTATGCATTCACCCACACGAAGGGGACGCGTTAAACTTTTTAAAAATGATTTTATGTTTTTTTGTTTGTTTTTTGCACTGTCCCTTGAAAAACAAATTAGATCACTTTTATTCTTATCACAAGAAATGCATGCATCCCCTGTGATAGAAATAATTAGTGACAGGTCCTCTTTATGGAGAGAGATGGGGTCAATAAGACCCCACATCTCTCCTCTGCAATGTAAAGCATTAGATCAAAAAAAGCACTGATCTAATGCGTTTAAAAAAAAAAAAAAAAAAGTTCCGGAAATGACATCGCTCCGGTCCTCCAAGGGCATAGAGATGAGTGGAGGCCATCTTTCCTTCACTAATCTATGCCCAGCGCAGGGATCGTTTGATGGTTTCTCAGGTAAAGCTGAGAACTACTGAGCGGCAGTCAGTGGCGGCGAGGGGGCAGGGTTTTTTCGGCACCAGTATTGGTGCTTTTTTTTTTATATCGGCCAATGGGGGTGTTTTCGACCAAAACGTTTCAGCCACCGAAATATTGGTGCACCCCTAGGGAATATTATACGAAACAAATCAAGGTCATACATGAGTAAGCTAGCACATACAATGAGAGAGATACTAGTCTCCTATCTCCTGGATGACAGACCCATCCAAAATACTGTGTTTGGCATCCCTGGACACAAAATATAATGCTGAACAATAATCTTCCAGTCATTAGAATGTAACCTGTATATAGTGGAAGATATTAATATTAGTTTTAAAAATGTGTGTAAGGGAGTGCTACAGTACAGTCATAAAACATAACCTCCCAGCCACCCTTTCAACTGGTTAATTGGTCAGATGACCTATATCAACACCCCCCTTGATGTCAGATAAAAAGATTACCAGCAGATTTGTTGGCTCTCGGTTTAAAGCGACACTAAAGGTTGTGTTGTTTTTTTTGTTTTTTTTTTTTTTTTGGGGGGGGGGCAATAACAAAGATGTTATACTCACCTACTGTGTGCAGTGGTTTTGCACAGTGCAGCCCAAATCTTCCTCTTCTTGGGTCCCTTGCCAGTGCTCTTGGCTCTCTCTGTTGGGTGCCCCCATAGCAAGCAGCTTGCTATGGGGGCACCCAAGCAGACGTGCTCCCAAGCCACTGCTTCTTGTGTCCATTCACACACGGAGCTGTGGCTTCCCCCCCCCCCATTGGCTGACTGGCTAGCTGTGATTGACAGCATCGTGTAACTTCTGGCTCCATTCGCTGCATTGAACTGAGAGTCGGAAGTGGGAGCGGGTACCTGTCGAAAGGTGCCAAATGCGGCAGTGGATGGGGGGAGGAGGCAGAGAAACGGTGCTTCCACTTTTGGGTGGAACTCGGCTGTAATTAACAAAACCCAGTGACAATCGCTCTGAGGCTGCTGGCACCTAGATTGTGGTCCCACAAGCTGGAAAATCTCTGTGCAGGGTGCTGCTGAGTGGCATTGTTACAAAAGTGACAGCACGTTGTGAGATTGGCTGGTCCTTGTCATGAGTTGGTGAGAATGGCAGGGGTCGGGCACTGCGTTCTTAACAGCCATGACATTCTTCAGCAAGGGCAGATGATTCATGCACCATTTACTGCCTGGAATCTTCTGCCCTTAGCTCAGACATGCAGGCAGGAGGGTGTGTTTAACTAAGAAAGCCCTTCCTCTCCTCCTGAAGACTCCTGTGATGTATGACATCATTTGCTTAGGCATGGAAACCAGGAATTAACTAAAGAAATGTGAAAAAAAAAGTTTAAAACCAGTAAATATATTATACCTTCCTATCTATTTACAAATGCTAGCAGCATAAGAGTTAAAAATAGTCAATGTTGTCTGAGAGGATGAAGTTCTGCTTTAATAAGTCAGTTCATACACCGGGAACGCTAAATATATAAAGTGGTTGTAAAGGCTGAAGGTTTTTTTTTTTTTTTTTTAACTTCATGCATTCTAACCTACCTGAGCCCCCTCTCAATCCAGCGATGTTCACGCAAGCCTTGGCTCTCCTGGGTCTCTCCCGTCATTGGCTAAGACAGCAATGGGAGCCAGTGGCTCCTGCTGCTGTAAATTTCAGCCAGTGAGCCAATGAGGAAAGAACCGGACCGAGCAGCAGCTGTGTGTGAATGGTCACACAGAGCAGTGGCTTGGGAGAGAGCCTGCTCAAGTGCCCCAATAGCAAGCTGCTTGCTGTGGGGGCACTTGGTGGGAGGAGCCAGGAGCGTAAGCTGGGAATCCAAGAAGAGGAAGATCAAAACTGCTCTGTGCAAAGCCACTGCACATAGCAGGTAAGTATAACATGTTTGGAAAGACAGTTTTGTTGTTGTGTTTTTTTTTTTTTGTTTTTTTTTAATAATTGCTTTGAGGACCAATCTAAATGTACTCCTTTGGTTGGGAATGTGCAGCAGACTCGGGCGTAGGCCTACACTGGCTTGTTGTTATGAAGTTTAATAGCTAGTGTTTTATTGGAGTGGCTTCAAGGCAGGGTTGAACAGTCACCTGTCTCAAAGATCTTCAGGATCTTGCTGTAACGCTGTATACGTTCATATAACATATGAGGAGCATGAAAGGTCTAACCTATTTTTAGTGGTGATTTCATCCTCCCCAAATTTTCTGCTGCTTTATCTCTAGTTGTTTAATTCCCCTCAAACATTACTGCAAGTGACTTTTAATATTCCCATAGCCAAAGTCAAATGTTATAGTTTATTAGCATTTATATATGAATGGGTGGGACTTGGTATATCCTTTTCAACATCCAATAAATACTTTGTAACAGGGTGTAGCTAGTCCATACCCCCAGCTGCCTTACTATTACAGCATGGGTTTAGGTTGTGTGTTGTCATGTTTTAAAATATATGTAAACCCTTACCTTGTAAAACAACCCACACTGTTTAAAATTGAATGAAAGCTTAAACATATGTGTATAGATATAAAAATAATTATGAATAACGTTCCCCTTTTTTTTCTTTTTTTTTTTAAGTTATCACATACCCTATATTCTCAGCTGCGTAGAGAGTTGGGGGCGGA